ATTTGTCGACTTCAACCAAAAATCAACGATTCTAACTATTTTTCAACGTTGATTTAACATCATGTGCTATCTGGGTTTAGTGTTTTCTTTTGCAGTCAGTTAATGGTGATGGTTAACGGACTGAGTTTATATTGCATTTTTCTTTGCCATGACAACACAAAGTGCTTCTCATTAGCCACATTTACCACACTCACATTCAGGCAGCTGGGGGTTTTGTTCCTTACCCAGGCACACATCAACATGATGGAAGCTGGAATCGAAAACACAACCTTTGGACTGCAAAATGACTAATCTTCCCACACTGAGCCACAGTCATCCCAGTAGTAAAAAAGTTCTCTTTGCCTACCTGAGTTTCACTTCTGCTCTCCTTGGTGCCAGTCAGATATGTGGAAAATTCTAAACATTTTTTTACCTAATTGAACAAATTGTTATGAACTTTAAATCTCATCAGGAATCTCATCTCTGCTCAGGTCATGGATCTGGAGCTAAAACCAGTTCTAGCTGGTTCTCCTGATTGCCCCGCCGAGGCTGTTCATGGCTCCTACCTCCGCAACTGGCCATCCATTCACCAGCAGGGTCTGAGCTGCATGAATAGGACTCATATTCATCTGTCAACCGGACTTCCAGGGGAAGATGGCATCATCAGCGGTATCCTCTATGTTTGAATCCAAAAAATAGGAGCTTATATGAGCTGAACATCAGATGGCAGCATAATTTCTTTTCCCACCAGGCATGAGGAAAAACTGTGACCTAGCTGTGTTTATTGATGTCTCCAGAGCTCTGGCTGGTAAGATTAGCTGGTAATGGCTGCAGTTTAATCCTCTCCACCCACCCTGTGTGAGTAAAGAAATCAATCCTTTTACAAGTGTTTTATGTGTCTGTGTCTGTCTTGTACAGATGGTATTGACTTCTTCTGGTCAGAGAATGGTGTGTTGCTGACTGCAGGTGATGCCGAGGGTAAACTCCTTCCTAAATACTTCACCCGAGCCCTAAAACTCAAGCCTACAAGTGAGGAAAACTAAAACACATTTCTTCTTAAGAAGCCAAACGACATTCCAGTTGTGTAATTTCTTGTGCTGTGTTTCAGGATGCATCCTTCCCCTGCAGTAAAAGCTGCTGCGCTTGATGTTCTCACCAAGCTTGAATCCAGCTTTGCCGTAGGTTTTCTTGGTTTCCATGACGTCACAAGTTTTACATTTCCTATAAATAACAGGACTTGCATTTACAGCCCAATTTTATCTTCATAATAAATACTGACCCAGATAAATATAAGCCGACATGGTACTTTTTTTGTTTATACTGTGCCTTACTAAAGTACTTGTGTCACATTATAGCCACAAATTTTCACATATTTCATTGAGATTTAATGTGGCAAAGTAAAGACGCGAATAAATATGAGGTGGAGTGAAAATGGCACAGGGTTTTCTAATTACAAACAATCAAATTATTCGGCATGTATTTGTAATTAGCTCCCATTGATCTGATACCCCTCATCCCCACTGCCTTTAGATTTAACCAAAGTTGTAGTAAGAAGCCTTTGTTGACACAGCAAACACATGAAAGAATGGGCTCATGAAACCAAAACTTTTCATCAAAATACTGGCAGCATCTGCGGTAATGTCTTTTTTTTTAGAACAGGGATGAGAAAATTTGTTGCTTATGATGGGAAGGATGAAGTTAAACGTAGAGCTCAATTGTAGAAGCAACTTTAAATAAAGGACTATATGAAGAGACTGTGTTTAGCCTGAGTCTGAGGAAACAGGATGCAGACACTGTGGTTTAACGGGCAGCCTCAACAGTTCCTTACAAGATTATGGAAACACACACACTCTGCATGATTGAGATAATTGGTTAGGAGCTTTCAGCAAGAAAACAAATGAGCGCTGTTGTGACCATGGTGACAGAAGATAAGACAAAACTTTATTACATGTTCAATTTAAACAGTTAACTTGTGCACTTTTAAATTCTCTGCTGGGATCATACAGTCAAGTTCAATAATTGATGTTTTCAAGCTTTTATTTCTCGTAATTATGATTTTCTGCTTACAATTAATTAAAACATGACATTTATGATCAGAATATTACATCACCCTAATAAAAAAAATATTTTGACAAATGAGCCTCTTCAGAAAGTATATTTTTTATTAATTGAATTTGGCTGTTAAAGCTGTATTCAATACAAGTCCCTCCAGAGCAATGCTGATTACAGTTATTGTTAGTCAGGCAAAAAAAAAAAGAGAAGTGGCTGCCTGAGTCAGCTTTGTATTTCTATAAGTTTGATCACCAGGCTTCTGGTTTTGGGCCCTCTATTGTTTGCACCAGCAGTGGTCCATCACAAAAGCATTCCATATTTGATGTTTGGAGTCCTAAACTCTCTTTGTTAAACATCATCTGCATTTGTGGCACATGGTAAATTAAAATCTGTCTGTTTGGATGACAGATGAGACTTAACTTTGTGTTTTTCTTGGTGGGATTCACAGAGAGAGGGAGTTTATGAATCAGTCTTTGTGCTTTTGAGTATTATAGCGCTTCATGGCCTCCGGTCAGCTTATGGAAGAGCTCCTCATTGAGCGTGTCGCTCTTCTCACGGCTGCGCGTCGACATGAAAATGTAGCCTCCAATGAACTCGTGAACAATTTTACAGTCGGCCGTCACGCAACCAAAGGCAATGTTCACGTTCCCTTCAAACTCGATGGCCATCTGGACATAAAGGTGACAGGAGGAGGCATTAGTTTGAGAAAGTGATCAGATTTGGGGAAAACGACAAAAAATACAGTTGAAATAGTTTTAGTCAATCACTGCATAATTTTAAAACATTTCAGCGCGACCTTATGCAATCTTGGGTATCTGAGACATGAAACACCTGAAGGTAACTGAAAAATTAAAAAAAATGTAGCTGCTATAGCAGCATCTATTATGACCTGTTTTATGTCCCAGTTTACGTTCCACTGCTTCATGTTGTTGTAGCGCCAAGTCTTCACCACGTCACCCACTCCCAGGTCGATACGGATCAGGCGGTTCGGGGCGATGCCCAGCACCTCGTCCTTTCTGCTACCCTTAAACCTGTTGGCCAGAAAACATTTATATTAATAAACCTCATACAAAGCTCCTAGAACACTATTTCACACATTATTTTGTACTTTTAGACCCATCTTTGGTCATGGCTTTGCCATGCTTATTGTCGTTCATCACTATTTTAGCTCGGTTATGTGTAAGGAGATGGAGGAGATGGTCATCAGTGGCAATAGTTTCAACATAAAGATCTTTGTTTGACTATGAATTATAATTTCCTCCTAACTTGGTGCACATCAATCTTAGGGGAACTTTAATTATGGTGGCTATTTATTATAAATATAAAAATAACAGTCAGCAACACCAGTAGAAAAACTACCAAATAATTTACATTTTGTTGCACATAGAGCCATAATTATCTCATAAAACTACCATGTCTTGACAATAATCAGCAACTTTTTGTTACACACAACCCCACATAGTTTTAACCATGGCTCATTGCACAACTACATTTCTAAATTCCTGTAGCAGCCAGTTGTACTGCAGGACTAACACTAGCCTATACATGAACAGAAACAAAAGGTAGGGATTGAGTTTGAGTTATTTCAACTTCCTTGCTGTTTGCTGTTATAATCAAAAGGTTCTTCTGCCACCTTCTGATTTTTCAGGGATTTGAGGGCCCCACAATCCTCTCTCCTGTGTTCTGCAGCATCAAATTTATTTAAACTTTACCTGACAACCACATACGAGAGTCCAAAATCAGGCAGAGCCTGCCAGATCTGCAGGAAGCGCATCAGTGCATCTGTCAGAGAGAGCTGAGCTACGTTCTGGTAGGCGTCCAGGATACGAGGGGTCAGCTGGAGGAGCAGGCACAGGCAAACCTCTTAGATATAATTACGTTTTAAAATTAAAGACAAGTTCCTTAGCTCTACAGCACTAACATCAATTCTTTAATGAAAAATACATTTATGCTTTATGACACACACATTCAGATAAAAGTCCCATGCTTCCTTTAGCAGGTTAGGATAATTCTATGGGCTACACAAAACATGTTCATTACGTTTGTTATTTAAGAAAATCATTCTTAAATAATGAGATTTTTGTTAACTCTATTCTGCCTATTTTGAGCTCCTTTCAGAATGAGATGTTTTAGATCCTCTGTTCACTTTAAATGTGTAAAACCAGTTGACCAAAGGCCCTGAAGCTCCACTTAGGTTGCAACGTGACAAGGTGAACTTTGCTGGTGTTGCTTGGTAATGGCACAATGCCCGTAGGTTGAGACTTAATTGGGAAGTTTTTGAAACGGCTCATTTTCCAGACACCATTAACATATTGCCAAAAAATGGCTGGCTGGTTTTCTCTAAGTGATTAGGCTGGTTCTGGAAGCAGTAGAGACCCAAATGGAAGTATATAAATGTGCAAAATTTGAATTCTGCATAATAGGTTCCATTTAAAACCAGATTAATACTGTCGTGTATTTTGGCTATGCAGAAGTGCAAATACTCTTTCTTCCTCTACCTGTTTGGGCTTGTATTTCTTATGGTAGCGTGGTGACACCAAACTGTGAGTGTTTATGCTTTCGTCGCTGGCGGCTGAGTTATTGCTGGAGCCGGAGTTGGTCTTTTGCATGGCCAGGAACGAACGGATGCTCTGGATCTCACTCTGGAAGCTGCTGTCTGCCAGGCTCTTGCCTTTGGAGGCCAGCCGGCATCCGGCCATCCACTGAGCGTACTGCTGCTCCTGCAAAACACGAACCACAGGCAGAAGGAGGAGGGGGTTAGACAGGTGTGCCTGTGGGCGCAACCGAGTGGGCGAGACAGAGATAAGTAGACAGAATGCTGCACACGACAGAACGATGGCACTGACATTTTCACAGCGCAGATAGACCTCATTCATGCCTTCAGGTGCAGGGATCAGCAGTCTGATAAGAAACTTCTGCGCTGCAACGTTGACGTCGGGAGCCACCTCACAGCCTAGGAGCAGGAAAGCAAAGTAGGACGTTGAGAGCTGATAATTAGGGGTTAGCAGGCAATCTTTCAAAAGGGGGAAACATCGGTTTAAAGAAGAACCCCTTTTCATCTATCGAATTGTTTATGTTTAATCATTTGATGAAATTAAACAACTTTTTCTTTCAAATTAAAATTTGTTTTCTGTACCTTTAAGGTTAATCTGTTGAATAGGCTCTCCAATGCTCTCCTCTTTGCTCTTGAAGTAGGAGATGGACGTATCCTGGAATTTGAACCAGTACTGCTTGTATCCCTTCAGAGTGAGCCTCTTGGGCCTGAAATGCAGAGTCGCATCGCTTGGTTTCATCAAAAATATTTTCTAGAAGTCATATGAGAATCAGTGTTCAAATCTGACCTGAATATCTTCAGGTAGTCATTGAGTTCTGGTGCTGTCATGTTTTCCTGAATAGAAGTTCAGAAAAGATGATTCTCTGCTCCTCTTGTTAAATTACCTACGATATGTTTTTTTTCCCCCTATTATCATTATTATTACAATCAATCAAAATAAAACCTAAATTAATAAAACATTTCAGTTGCTCAAAGGTGGAGCTTCATTTTTTTATTTTTTTTTATCAGCAATTAAGAATTAAAATCCAAGCTACCAGCAGGTCAGAGGCAGAGCTGCTATCTCCCTCCATCTTGACCTCCAAGGACTGAAGGGCCGACTCCAGGTCGTCCAGGGCCGCGTTGGAGCTCATCATCTGGGGCTCCGACAGGGCCACCTTATTGATGTGGTACTAAATGATTTTACATGTAAGAGAGGACAGAAAGAGACATAAGTGTCTCCCTCATATAGAAGCTGTTAGCTGACAGTCAGGGCAAATATAGGTCATAAAAATGCAGGCTTACTGTATCTGCAAGGAAGCTTTTGAAATTACTCAAATACCCACAAGTATTAACAGCAGCTTCTAATGTATTTGTTTTATAAAATCAAAAAACCTGAAATAAATGTAAAATGGAGTCCACTTCATAATTCTGTAGATTTCACAGGAACCACCAGGAATTATTGCCCTATTTGGTCTCACATCTTTTTAAAGTTCTTGCAACCTCTCCTAAGGTCCTGCCACATCCTTTCAAATCATTTCAGGCCTGAACTTGGACTAGGCCATCGCAACCTCTTGAGTCTTTTCCTTTTTTCTGCTATTCTTCTCTAGATGTGTTGCTGTGTTTGGATCATTTCCCTGATGAATGATCCAGTTTTTTTTCTAGACACATTTGTGCACAGAAACGTTCACAGTAGACTCAGTGAATGAGTTCTTTCGCATTCAAACAAGCCCAAATCACCATAACTCCATCGCTGTGCTTGACAGTTGGCATGAGACGTTTGCCATTTTGTACATGTTGAATTTATCATTTTGCTGCCTTTTAAGGCATTCTGAGTTTATTCCGCTATTTTTGAAATACTTGTGTGGCTTAAATGTTTGGACTTCAGTCTTTGATCCAGTTGTTGTGGGTTCAACTGATCATTTTTCTCTCTCAAAAACCTTTAAAATATAGGTCTATCCAAATTTGAATCAGACCTGACATTTTCCGATAAATTACGTGTAGATCTAAATCTGAACACAGAATGCTTTTAATGTGAGTTCACACAGCAGTTTTCTTCAACATCTCGTATATTTGCACTCAAACACGAGAGTTTCTGCTAAATTTGACATTTAAAGCTTTCATGAGAAAATGATCCACTTCCCTCAGAGCATTTTTTATTTTTTTTATCTTACCTGCAGCGCTCCAAAAAGCATCATCTCCTCCTCGGTGCAGTCGATGTCTTCCAGCAGGATGGCCCAGCGAGCCTGCTCATACAGCTGGGTGAGACGTACAACATCGTACTGCCGGGGTGAAGATTGAGGTGATGGATGAGTTAATAGCACATTACCAGTCCCAGACACAATGATTGCACTAAAACAGCATACACAAACCTTGGGTTCTATGTCGTAGAAAGAGTAATACTTGAAGCGAAGCCACAGCCGGTCATTTTCTTGGATGCCTTGCTGCATGAGACAACGTGATGAATCCAACCACCTGAGGGGAGGGTGGGGAAACCACAGAGTCTGTAAGGGTTTGTGTTTCTATGAGTGAATATATACAATGATGTTTGTGTTTGCATTAAATTAATTCCAGAGTTAAATAAAGTTTGTTGTAAAAAAACAAGAAAATGGGCCCAGAATACAATTTGTTTTAGAAAATCGTCATTGTTTTCCTTGTAAACTTTTCAATCAGTTAATGTAGAAATAAAGCGAAGGATAAAGAGACAAAAAAGTACAAAGAAACAAAATGTTTTTCTTTTTCTTTGTTTTTAACTAAAAAGACTATTTCCCCTGGAAGCTGTTCAAGTAATCCGAAAATCCTCTAAATGCACAGGCACATCTCAATAAATTAGAATATTGCTAAAAAATTAATCTTCTAATCTTCTTCAGACAACGCTTACAGTCTCAACATGGTTCTCACTCTCACTTCAACAATCAGGAGAAAATTAAAATATTTGTGAGTTAAAGTTACAAATGTCATTTAAAATGATGAGTAATGATGGTGTAATCATGTCCTCTTGTTGTGACAGACCGGTGTGTAATTTTAGCAACTGGTCTGTCACAGTTGCAATAAATGCCGTTTGTTCCTCAAACAAACTGCATTTTTTTTAAATTAGATCATAGAGGAAAATGTGAGGTATTTTCTTGAGTTTAGATTGTGCAAATTTTGCACAAAAAATAGAAGAAATAGTTGCTGCATCTACAAAGCGGAGCTCCTTGGGCGATGCTACCACCTGAGCTAGAAGCAGATGTACCTGCCGTGGATGTGAGATTTGTCCACCACACTTGCTGGGCGGTACTGCTTGGCGATGACCTCTGGAGCAGGAGGAGGCTGAGTGACCGACAGCATCTTGTAGACGCCCTCCATCTGCTCTGAGTCAGCGAAATGAGCTGGCATGCCATTATACAGACAGGGCCGGGAAACTGAACAGGAAGTGGGAGTGCACAGACTGCTGTGAGATATTCAGGCTCAAAACGGGAAGCACAATGGCTTACATGCACTTATTTTCAACAAGCATTGTGCCCTGTCAATATGCCTTCAGTGTACATAAAAAAAAAGATGTGGTGGGTGTACCCGAGGAAAGGGGCACCTCGGTCAGGTCGTAGATCTCCTCTGTCATATCTTTGTCTTTCTTCTTCTTCTTCTCCTCCACAGGTCGGAGGAGGGAGAGCTCCTCAGGATGGCGGATGTCTGTGGGGATCAGGAAAGTAAACAGATGTTTATTAGCGCTACAAAATATCAAATGTGTTTTATATTGAGGAATGTTAGAGCAATCCTTCAGTATTCTATTTCATTAGGTTTAGATTTACTCTTTTATAGTTGCCACTGGGATAGCAGAATACACAGTACAATAACAGGATCGAATCCTTTATAGTTTACTTCTTATAAGATCAAATGCAATGGCAGATCATAACAAAAACCTAGTCTGCGCTACAGATGGGTAAAAGCAAGAGAAGAGATTCACCAAAGCACAACCTTCACATGGAAAAATGAAGGTCAACAATACTAAAAGCTCTTAGATTATGATCAGTTTCTGATGCCAAGAATGCTCTGTTTTCTTGATTAATAGCTATAGCAAAACTATATTATATAAACTCTCCTACTCAAAATCAACCTTCAGCACTGACGTTCTCTATTTCACTTAATCTTATTAGTTCAATTCTCTTTAAGTATTTCAATGAATTATGAAATTAAATACCATACAGATCATCCTTCTGATCCACATTTAGGTTGGTCAGTTCCTGTGTCCAAAACAATCATAAGTAAACTCCTTCTGACTGGTAATACTTATTTATATGACATTTGTACATTTCCCTACAGTGGAGATGAGTAAAGACTTCAAACCATTCACTGTCAGAGCAGATAAGAAACAGGCCTTAACATGGGAATGAACTGGTTGGTGCAACAAAATGTATGTAGTTTGATCGGATGAAGCTAAAACTGAAATGTTTTTCACAGGCCTGACCATTGTTAAGTGTGTAAGAAAAGTCTGAGAGCAGGAACTTAATTGTGAAATCTGGGGGTGGCAGCATCAGGCTGTGTGGGTGTTTTACTACAAGAAGAACAGTTTTCCTTCTCAAAATAAATGCCGTTATGAAGAAAGGACATTGTTTTTTGGAAATATTTATCATACATCTGAAGATGTTGGCCAGGAATTTGCAGGTTGGGCACAAATTATACATTATACATTCAAATGAATTAAAAAGTAGCTTAAAGACAAAAATATTCTCATTTTGTAAGTATGATTACAACATTGCATCCATGACCTCAAATCAGGAGGTCATACTTAAGTAACATTTCAGCGCCCCAAAGGCTGTGTCATTTTCTGTGTTAAATGTCAGTTTTTAGATGAGGTCCGTGACTGGATGTCAGATCATACGTGATTAAAGAAAACTGGTGAAAAAATGTCAGTATGTTCTTCATAAGTTTTTTTTTTTTTAAATTATGAAACAAATCTCACCATTCTGGGCAATTTTAGTAGGTGCAATAGTGTCAGGTTCCAGCCACACTCACAATGTTCATACATTCGGGCACCAACTGGTAGTCAACTTCCAGCTTAATTTATGGTTTTAGTGTCAGTCAGATCATTCAAAGCCTGAACCCTGAAAGCTTTTTTATTTCCAAGCCAGTTCTGTCATTTCCCTTACGTTTGCTGCTTTTTAAACCATTTTCAGTCTGCTACCTTTTCTGGGGATTTCTGGTGAGGAAATGAGAACAAGCGCTGCTTAAATTAGAATAAATGAAAGCATGAAAGAGACTGAGAAATCCTTTTTTTTTTCTTGTAATGAAGAAAGTCAAAGAGCTGCTTGATGAGACTGAGGGAAAACACTCAAATATAACATCAACGCTTTGATGTAAAAATGCAAGAAAGACAAAAAATGCAGAAAGGAGGGAAGAAAGAAAAACCTACTGAGCATCCTGCAGATTCCCATCACGGTCTGGAAGACGGGGTTGGAGAAGCAGGCCTTCAGCATCACAGTTTTACCGCTGGGCAGACCCAGTTTAAGTGGCTTATGCTGCGGCATGAACAGCAGACGGGCGTCAGCGTGAATCCCGTACTTCTCCAGAGTCCAGGCTGTCCGCAGGAGCCACCGTTGCTTCTGGTCCCACCACAGCGCATGGTCCGACCAGTTACGCTGCATCTCTGTATAAGACAAGAAGGAAATACCTGGATTAGTTACAGACACTTATGCTTGGCTATTTTAATCTCATAACACTTTGGCACTGAATACCCTCAGGCAGACTACGTGTCAATAAACATTAGTGCTCTCTTTATACTTGGTATTTATTTCCCAGAGAAAGTATTCCTGGCCCTCTGTGTTATTGTGTTTATCTGTTTCTTTCCTTTCTCTTAACTGCCAGCTGTTGCAGCAGATGGACTGAGCCTTTTTCTGCTGGATGTTTCCTCCTGTTGAAGAAACAGAGGCTCCTCTCCCTCCGTGGCAACACATGCTTGCTCAGGAGGAGGGATTGCTGCCGAAGTCAACTACTCTATGCGATCAGACAGGCTTCCTTGGAGAGATAACCTTTCACTAAGTGACATTAAACCATCACCTGAATGTGTCTGTACTGTACTATAAATTGTATGGAATTGAATTATAAAACAGGATCTAACGCCGAATGTACGACATGATTTAATTCTTGTTGGGAGCTTTAGAAAAGCACTCTGACCTCCCTGATATATTTTATTGGGATTTTCTTTGATTGACCAAAAAAAGTGTTGCATAACTGTGAAGTGAAAGAAACAAACTCTGTTTCAATTTGCTTTACAAACTGATTGGTGTGGATGAATTTGTTTTCAACCTCTAGAAATCAGATTTTATTGAAGACTATGCTAGATCCCATTGCTTTCAAGATACAGAAGTGCAACTGTTGGGTGTTTTTTCCTTTCTCTTCATATGAGCCTTGCCCAGATCTCTCTTGCAAAAGAGATCTTCAGATCTCAATGGGACAAACCTGGTTAAATCAAGGTTATTATTATATCCCTAAACAAAATGCTGTTCAACAAACGTCAGAAGCCTTCAGAAGTTATCTATTATAACAACCAATCCTGCTCATCAAAAGGCATCCCCACTGTGAAACACGGTGGTAACTGAATCATGAGTGAGATGTGAAATCTTCAGCAAAGTCAGTAAATTTGATCAAAGCTAAAGGGGAGATGAATGGAGCTAAATTCAGGGTAATCCTAGAAGAAAACCTTTGGGGAGACTACAAAATATTTCAGATTGGTGTGGAAGTTCACCTTCCAAAAGGACATTCCCATAGCATGATAATGCCACCACCATGTTTCACCACTGGAATGATGTGTTGAATTGATGGACAGTGTTAGTTTTTTGTTTGAATAAGTGATGTATAAAGACAACTTTATTTCAGGATGTCAGAGTCAGTAGCAAAACAACAACTTTCAGATTTGTACATTTATCCTTTCCCTTGCACTAAACAATAAAGTTTTGTTTTAGATAATCACATAAAATACCAATAAAATTCCTTAAAATCTAGCACAATGTAGAACATTTTTTAAAATATGAATACATTTGTAAGCCCATGAAATGACTAAGTTTCTACTGTCGGCCCACATGATTGAGAGGGACGGCTGAAAACAGATAGCTTGACTCACGTGTCTTTTCCACCAGCTTGAGGATAACCCCTCCAACGTGGAGGTCAGAGGCGACGCTGATAGTGACAGGAGGGGCATCAGGCCCCAGGTCCTCCACTTTGACTGACAGATCCCACGCCGCCATACTCTGAGAGAGACAAGAGCAGAGTGTGTGAAGGGAAGGCTGAAGACAGGACTGTTCTCAGGAGAAACACGAACATTGACTAAAATACTACAGCCCGTGACATCTCCAACAGGATAAAAACCAACATTATGAACACAAATTACACACATAAGATCTCTTCTGTTAGAGTAAAAATGTTCCCTACTTATTTTTTATTTACATAGAAACAATAAAAATAACTTTATAAGTGCTGCTTAGTGGAAGATAGCCCTTCTCCATGGTCAATATCACCTGATACTGAGTAACATGGACACACAAACATACACTGTGAGTGACATGTCAAGTTTAAATAGTATTTCCTGTTTCGGTCTTAAACTATCACCATGGATGCATACTTCCGCTTTTCAAATGCATGCAGGAGGGGAATGTGAAACCCAACATGGGCTGGGTTGTTCATTCGATGGTGACACACTCGCCTCCTGCATGTAAATAAAAGCCCATATAAAATTAGATTTTACTTCTGGCTCTAAAATATGTGTACGTTTCAAAATCATAATCTTTTTTACAAGACAACTACAGATGATGGTGGCAATGCATAAAGATAACATGCTTCAAACTCTCCACTTTTACTCGAAGGCCTAGGCATTTTCGACATTTTTATGTTTAAGTAATAAATTATAATTTGTGTCCAATTCATACAGTCAAAAATAACTTCTTAAATTACCTCTATATCTTTATATTTCATAAAGAAGCTCAAAATATAAAAACCCAGTGCTGTTTTCTCTGTTCTCATGCTTCCCCCCCCCACCCAAACACAGACATCTTGTAAAAGACAGTACCGTCAGTCTCCTCCGTCCACGATTTTAAGAACTGGACCTGGCGGGTTCCTCTTGTCTCTGTCAGACAGCTGAAGAAGTTTCCCTGGTCTACTGTGAGAATTTGCACTAGTCTTGCCTCTCTTGGGTAGGGCAGGTTGTGGTGTGTGGTGAAGCCTCTGCCTTTGCTGCTTGTGTCACCCGTGTAAAAAAAAAAAAAAAAAGAAAGAAAAGAAAATCTTGTTCCTTTTTTTCTTTGTCAGTTTCCGCCAGGCGGAAATGTGAACACCAGTTAACTTCTGACTGACGGCCTGCGTTGAATGATACATATTAGGCAACATCTATGTGTGGTTCACATTTAAAACGCTTGTGTGGGTTACCATGTCAGAAGTTAGTAATGTAAGGCTGTGTGATATTACTCCTTAACTTCAAAAGTCAAGTTTCTTTGATTTTGCTAAATAACGATGTTAATTTAGGTGTTTGCTAAAATTAATAAAATGTTTCACGTAACACTAAACAATGCCTTTTTTAAGCGCAGTCTAAAACAAATTAAATATCGTCACTTTTTGTCATGTACACAAATTTAAAAGTGAATTTTAAAAACACATTTCAGATTCGTTGATTAAATTTTGAAAACATTTAATCAATGTTTAAATGTTTTGCCCAAAAATAATATATTTATATAATATATCACCTTTAATAATCAACTGAGCTTATTGCACTAGCAACTGGAGTACATGTGATTGAACTAAAATTACTCCAAAGTTTATTGCGATGACATTTGTTGTGAATTGGCAATATATAAAATTTAACTTTCGAACTAAGAAATGAGCCCCACCAATAAACAATATAAAAAAACCAACAAAAAACCCCAACTACCAATACAAGAAAGGTCAAAGCCCCAAAAGTAGATACTAAAACATTCAAAACCTGGGAATTTTTATTTCTTTGCAGGGATGTTCCCACAATCTAACATAAAAATGAATAAAACCAGAAAATCTTGGGAGTTTGTCTTTGAATGTAGAAGTTTGACATGAAGATAGATTCCTTTGGAATGTTTGAAAAAGAGACAATGTTAAACATCGGGGACAATGTCATCCCCAATCTCCGTTGTTTAAAGTTGTGCAGGATGTTTAACGTTGTCCCCAATGTTTTATTTTATCTCCAGTGCTTAGGGTTATATGAGGTTAAATTGTCATTATTATTATGTTTACAGTATCTGGAATGTTTTACTTTATCTCCAATGTTTAACGCAAAAGGAAACTTTTCTGGAGATTTGACATCTGATAAACATTGGCAATAATGTTAAACATCAAGGAAAGCGTTAAGCATTGTAAATGAGTCATTAAATTGAGATATAGGTTAGGATTACTGATATAGATATTAGAAGCTGTGTAATAATATTAGTGTATTAAATCCTATCATTTCAGGTGCACAGTGACCTGGGCAATCCGGTGGACACATTGTGGCCACGCTGCATTTGATAGCGGACTGCCATTCAACGTGCAAAAAAGAACATGCGGTGATCTGTGTAGATGTCTGTGTTTAATTTAATTTCAATAAAACCCTGTTTTACCCGTCTGGTACTGTTTAACTCTTACCAGTACCTCTGTATTTACAATATTTTTAAAAGATAGGATATTCTCATAAAAGGATTAGTGCAAACATCTGCGATAGCTTTTCATTTTAGACGGATAGGATATTCTGATGAAGGAAGTGGTATTTTTGTCGTGCATATAAATTGTTCCAATGCTAAACATAACGTATAAGCTTTCACTTCAGTCTCAAAGAATTTTATCCAATGATAATATTTAAAATTAACGCAGCCTGTTATAGTTTTCGGTTTGTAAACATCACGGTAGAAGTTATATATCCGTGTTACGGCAGAAAAATCTGAAGAGGTAACACATATAGCTAGAACCAGAACACCGTTACATTTAAACGGCCATTGTGTCACCTCAATCTGTAATTTCCGACAGCCGTAAAGCTCACACTGACTTGTGACCGTTAGCTTCGACTGTTCCGTTTTCACTCGACTATGTAATATATAGATAATAAAACACAGCCCTGTTTAATATATTTAGTTTAGATGCCACTCTTTTCTTTTATTATGAATACCAGAATCCGAATGATACAGCAGTTATTAATATTTATTGATTTTAATCAGTTAGTGGTGATCATGGAACACCCCTGGTTGATGGTACATTCCATCCGTTAACTTCCGAAACAAAAATGGCACATGAGATTTTGCAGTGAGGGGTGTGTTTGCATCGAAAGTGAAAGCTAACAGCAGAGTGGCCGACACTTCAACTTTGAAACACAACTCTTTGCTGTCTGCTTGGTGTTACCTAAACATGGCGCTGCTAATGTCAGCTCGAGTTTCACACATCAGAGCCCTCCCTTGCAGCGCTCTGTCCCGTATCCGAGCTGACTTCCAGACAGCAGGTGTCAAGTTCAGGCACTTGTTACCTCCGGGTAGCCCCCAGCTCAGAGGGACGGGAGTAACGAGTCCCGTACGAAGCCATATTAACACCGCAGTCCGAGGTGACAGATTCTCCACCACAGCGGCGCTTCGCAAATCCAGCCAGGCTAACGGTTCCTCTTCACCAAGGGGGAGGAGAGGCTGGCTGGGCAAGTTTGCCCTCGGTGCTGCCTTTGGAGTGGGCACAGGCGTTCTGGTACATGCCCTCCACACTGGAGTTTTAACCGCCATGCCTCTAAAAATTAACCTGGACTCTGCTGAGAGAGACTGGAAGGAAGCCAAGGGTGAGAATGTCCAGCAGTGGCAGGGAATAATATTTTACAGAGTTTTCAGACAAAAACACCCACTGTCAACTGGTACAAAAAGTTGTATTAAGTTTTTGATAAATAACAATGTATAAAACACAATAGACAGTCAACTTGGTGTTTTTAGCTTCGTATTAAGCAGGGTTCCCTATTTTTATATTTTAGTATGTGCAGCTTTCCTAAAGTAACTGCTACTTAAGCTATTTTCTTACATGAAGCTTTACTTAGGTCTGAATGTTTTTTTATTATTATTATTGTCTTAAACACGTTATAAAAGTATTCACACCACCTAAATCTTTCCCATGTTTTGGACTGAGGACAACTTCAAACATAAAATGTATTTTTTGTGGATTTTATTTATCGACCTACATAACAAGCAAAGTATAATTAAGCATATTGTACTGAAAGGTGTGGCATACATTTGCATTCAGCCCCTAGATATAATCAATTTGATTCCATTTAAAAATGTGTGTCACCAGTTCACAACAAAAGTCTTCTCAGGGCACCTTACAAAAGCACCTATCCCAATTTATGCAAAACCTTGTCAAGTGCAGCATCTGCAGGAAGGGAACAAGAAGTTGTTGGAATCATTAGCTCAGGTGTGACTTTATGGGGAAATTAAGAAACAGAGTAGATATGAAATTAATGGCAACAATAACAGTAGATTATGCAAAGTTGGACAGTAGAGTAACTTGAGGTAACAGAGTAAAAGCAGCAGAAATGTTCAGATTGTAATTTATAAAGCCTTGTAAAAGCTGTTCATTATTTTATTCTCAGAACTATGCACTACTTCATGTTGGTCTAACACCTAAAATCTCAGCAAAGCACACAGAAGTTAATAATAATAATAATATAATATAAAATAATATGGAACTGTTAAAGGAGGTTAGGAAGATTTCTTGTTAGATTATAAGTGCCCCTTTCTTTTTCTTCTCCCTAGATTTCCTGCTGTCTCTGTCTGTGAAGGACAGGCGCGGCTACTACAGAACCTCTGGCTCGGTGCCACTGGATGACATCCCAGTGTGGACTCCCACAGCAGGTCAGACATCTGTCAACATCTGCATCACTCAGAGTGGTGAAGATGAAATTCTTTTCACAAATTAGAAACAACTTTTATTACAGCATAAAATTATAAAAATACTGTAACAACCTTCTTTAAAAACCAAAAGTATACATAAGCAAACAAATCTTTAAGTTGATTAAAGTGCTTATTCCTAAAAAAAAAAATTACATTCTTAGCAGAGGACCATACTTAGATGGGCATGTGATTTAATGCTGTTCAGAGATGGGTAGATAAAAATTGTAATCCAACATGCTTTTAATTGCGTAGAAATAAAATGTAAAATTAAAAAATACTTCAGTAGGAGTAAAAATTAATTTGCTAAAAAGGGTTCTCAAGCTCTAACTGATCATGAACAAAAATGTAAAATGATGTGCCAATTATGATATTTACTACAATAAAATAAAATAAAAATAATAGTAAAACATAAATTACATAATTACAAAATATAAATATCAAAATCTGGCAAAGGAAACACCAAATCCCACTTTTGCACATCAGTTTTTATTTTTTTATTTTGAACATGATAGAAGTATGACATCACACACATGAACAAGGAATGCAAAGAGTAATTGGAAATTATACTCGGGTAAAAGTAAGTTTACTTCAAAATATCACTCAAGTAGAAGTAAAAAGTACAGAGAGTAAAATGACTTCTAGAATACTTGAAGTTATTCAAGTAGAATGTAACTGGAATAAATATAATTAGTTACTTTACAGCATGGAAGGCCTTGTGTTCTCACTTTGTGAAGATCAGAACTATTGTGGCCAAAATAAGAATGTAAAAAGAAGACATTTTGAACATGACTGATTAAATGTCTCATTTTAAGCCACGCGGGTTCCTTCCTCTACTTGTTTCAGAATTGATTTGTCTTCCTTCTCTGGTGATAAATTGTCCTAAGCGACTGTGAACAGCCTAGGGCTTTGTGACAGAGCCAATCTTGCATGTGGCTGTAATAAACCTCATATTTAAATAAGTGATAAATCTGTAAACTGCATGACAAAAATTGAAGGTACCACTAGAGGGAGCTCATATGCTTCCAGTGTCGCAGTTACCCGTCTGCTGATCCCTGTTCTTCATAGAGATTTCGGTAACACTTTATTTGAAGGGGGGTGAATAAGACTGACATGACACTGTCATAAACGCCTGTCATGAACATGAATAAGCCTTCATGAATATTTATGACTGTTCTCATAAAGCGTCATTGGGTAAATTATGACACTTTTAATACAAAGTTGACATTATTCAAAATGTCTTTGTTATGACAACTTGACATTAACCAAGAAATCATTACTGATATAAATTTGTTATAAAAGTATTACTGACAGCACATTAAAAATTAGGTATCTTTATGTTATTAAAG